ATATATATATATATATATATATATATATATATATATATGAAAGCAAAAAAATATTTTCTTTTCTAATCATAAACTGAAGGTATAATCATGAATATCATGGAGCAAATTTGATTTGCTTCTTTAAAGAAAAAAAATTGGAATCTTGATGTGATTTCGATGCATCAGATTCCGACCGGAATGGTAGATGGCATGAAGTACAAATGGATAACATCATAAAAAGGGATTTAGAGACAAAAACACTTACAAGATATTTCCAAGTACACACACTCTCTATATACCTTACTTATGGTCCTGTTTATAGGACTAACTATCTTACTCCTCGTGTTACTCATAATTGAGATAGTTATTGAAACTATCTTGTAACTACTAAATCATGATTGAGATAGTTATTGAAACTATCCTATAACTACTAGATCATGATAACTACATAGATACTTATGAATCAAATCTTAAAATAACATTATTGATTTAGAGCAAAACAATCACAAACATCCATAGCGAAAAGAACCATGTCTTTTCCTCCTTGTTTTCTTGCCACCCTAAGCTGAGGAGACATGCATGCCAAATACAATCCCAAAGACTCTCAGCACACCATAAGTGACCAACATAGCCAACCAGCCTCCGAACAACAGCCTGAGTACAGAATTGGGCACATTAGCACCACCCAACACAGCTCCTGCTGCACCAAATCCAGCCAAGCCCAAGCTGCTCACCGCACACACCGCCCCAACTCTGACCCCCCATGACCTGATGAACCCTCCTGCCAACAGAGGCAGCACTGCCCCCAGTGAGAACGCCAGCGCCGAGGCCACCGCCGCCAGCAGTGGGTTTGGCAGGCTCCCCTCCTCCTCGCTCCCGCAGTCTTGGCGTCGCCTCTCCCGCTCCGCCACCTCGATGTCGTACTGCGCGTAGACGGAGACGAACTCGCCGATGGCCATGCTGCAGGCGCCCGCTACGAGGCCGGCCAGGCCGGACACCAGCATGGCCTTGGCGCTTTGGCCCACCGCGCCCACCCCCACCATCAAGGAGGCGACGGAGACGAGGCCGTCGTTGGCGCCGAGCACCACGGCGCGGAGCCACTGCGCTCGTGCCATGTAATCCACCGGATCGGCTTGCATCGATTCTGGCTCATGAGGTCGGGGCGGGATGGCGATCTGGACGCACCCATCTTGCTTTAGATCTTGCGTAAGATCCGGCGATTGGTTTTCATGAACGTGAGAGCTGAGACGAGACGACATTAGTGGTGTCTGGGAAGGGCCTGAAGCCGAGAAATGGTGGGAGAAGAGCAGAAGAGAACAGTGGAGATTGGAATGGGATTGGGGGAGTGTGTTGGCCACACGCCCCTCTTGCCTCAATTTATAAAGGAGAGAGAGAGAGAGAGAAAGTGAAAGGGAATCGCCGAAAACATTCGTTAGTTTTGAGAAAAAGGATGGTAATGTAGATGGCATTCGAAGATTTCATATCATATCATATATATCATATCGCCGAAAACATTCGTTAGCATTTTGATTAGTTATCATATCATATATATTATTTTTATTTTCATCTAATAATAATATATCTAATATCAAGGTTTAGGTTTTGTGGATCAAATTTGTTTACTATTATTTTTTTAATATTTAAAAAAAATAATTTTTTAAAAAATATTACAAGGATCCATCATATTTTGATAGAAATAAAAAATTTAAAAATATAAAAAAAAACATATATTTTTTTTTCTATTTTAGATATTTTTTATTTTTTTGGGTCATTCAACAACTAAACAATTTATCTTTTTTCTAACATTTTATATTTTTTATTTCCACTAAAATATGATGTATATTTGTACAATATTTTTTTTTGACATTTATGCTTCTAAATGGGTGAAAACTTATGGTAAAAATTTAGTCCATAATATCTAAGCCCTAATATTAGATATACTATTTTTGAGGTGAAATAAAAAATAGTGTCTCTGAGATACGGACTGGTTAAATGACACTCTAATGAATATTTATGGTATTTTTTATTTTATAGAATTTTACTATTGATATTTTTCTACATTATTAAAACTTTAAATGACACTCCAATCTATCATTTTTTATATTTGAGCTTCTAAATAGGTGAGAAACCTATAGTAAAAATTTGATCCACAAAATTGAAGCCTTGGTATCAAATACATTATTTTTAGGGTGAAATAAAAAATAGTATATTTGATACAAGGACTTGTCAACAAATTATGAAATTTCAATGAAACCCATGAGTGGGCACCCTGATAGACATTTATGATTTTTTTTATTTTATTTTTATTTTTTGATATTTTTCTCAGTTATTTACTATTTGAATAGTATGCTTTTTTTCTAATTTCTCTAATTTTTATTTTTCATCAAAATATGATAGATCCTTATGATTGACATTTGGCTTCTAAATAGGTGAGAAGCCTATAGTAAAATTTTGATCCACAAAACCCAAGCCCTAGTGTCAAATACATTGTTTTTGAGTGAAATTAAAACAAGTATATTTGATAAAAATACTGTGAAATTTTAATGAAACCTTTTGAATGACATCATGATGGACATTTATTATACATTTATATTTTCAATAATTTTTTTTGATTTTTTTGGGTTATTTACTGTATGAACAATCTATCTTTTTTTTATTATTTTCTCTATTAAAAGGTGGAGAGAGAATATGCAACTTTGAAGGAAAACAGATAAAAATTTAGTTATAGGGCTATTTTTATCATTTTAAAAAAGTTAAGACTTTTCGATAATTTTTAAAAGTTGGGATACTTTATGAAAATTTCTTAAAATTATGAGTTGAGAATTTGCTCCACGCTAATTATAATTTCTTTTGACTCATTAGCTCTAAGTCTGTTCCAAATCTTATCTAATCACTTAAAAGGGCAGAATTGTAGGATGCAAGTAGTTGGATAAACAATATCTGATATCTCATAGGTAAAAAGAAAATCTAATATTTAAATACAGTCAACAACAAGATCAAATTTACAATGACTCGAATAATTTTAAGAATCTATACGAAACTTCTAGATGTCCATTATTCTAGTTTTTCTTATGCTTTCGCATGCTGTACACCCATTAATAGGCACGAACTACGAAGAACTCGTACTTCTGAGGATTAAAGAGGTGACAACCGAGCACTAGAGAAATGGCGCGTGCATTGCGTGTGGCAGCCACGCGAAGGGCAGACTTTTTGGTACTAGAAAATGACAGATACGGTGAAGTGGGCGCCGCAATTTGCAGATATCTCATTCTTTTTGTATTGCAATGGATCTGTTCTGAGGCATCGTTGTTTAATATATCAGAAAAGAGAGAGAGAGAGAGATTCTTAGCTTCATACGTGAAGATAACTCCTCAAATTTCTTCCTTGAGGTTGCGACATCCTTGAATCACATTCCAACATCTCACATCAAACCTTAAGATGCCTCATCATGACGAGAAGGCCTTTATTCCCATCCAACTTAGCCGAAGAAAGTTCCTTTCTTGGTCTGCAAGGTAAGGATGCAAGAAGGTGTGAGCCAACTTCAATGGCCATTCCTCAAAGCTGTATCAGGAGCTATTCAATTGCTAAAAGGTTAGCAGGTGAAGGATTAACATATTGCATTGCTACAAGAATCTTAAGAGAAGAAAGAACAGCCATAGGCATGGGGCAGCACTCCACAAAGAGACATACTACAAGTTAATTTTGTGTAATATCACATTGTACTTCTTGTTTTTCACATATTTATCTTTAGAAAACACAAATTGACTTTTTTGAAGGATGTGTCAGTTCTGTCTTCCCTGTGAAGTTCTACACTCCAAGGATCTGAGTGAACTAAAATGAACCATGATCTGATTGATGACCATGGGATTTTGAAGTGTTTTTGCTGTTCTCCCTCTTAACATCCTAAGCTTTGCTTTCAGCTTTCTGCTGTCAAGCTTAGCCTCATTCTCGGTTCCACCAACGAGTTTGTGTGACCACAGGTTTATGGCTACTTCCAAGAAATCAATAACAATATGAGGTGGTGAGGGAATAAAATTCTTGCAGCATATTTATCCACCAATGCAAGAGCTCTAAGAACAGAAAATATATATTCATTATGTCAAGCGTTCATGAGCAATCTGTAAGTTCAAATCTAGAGAGCTAAAGAACACTTGCATAACTTGATATCAATAAATTCATCTTCCATGGGCACTAGTTTGGACAAATTTGAATTCCTTCTGTATTAATGATCCATGTAAAATGTGAGGATCTCTTCAATCTGATCATTGCAGATAACTATAATTATAAGAATTGAAAGGTTAAAAAACAGCAAAAACCTACACTGATCTTACTACAAAAGCAATGAGTCAATAGCATACAGTAAGATTAGGCGGCACAAAAGATGAACAGTATATCTACAAATTGCTTTATGATGGTGAGATCAAGTACAACATGAATGCCAGGGTCCTCGGCTTCAACCCGGGATAGTCCCATGTTAAATTCATCAGCAGCCAAATCAAGAATGTACTAATGGAAGGTGAACACAATCATAAAGTATCATGACATGAAAAATTTTCAGATAAAACATATGCCTGTCTATGTGCAGATACCTAAGGTGATTCACAAAACTTAGCCTCACAATGATGCAGCCCTAATATCTAAACTAAATGAAATATAAATGAAAACTACTATTTATTTCTAGAATATTTCAATCTAATGTGGAAACATTGCCTCACATCATTAGATGCTGCAGTCACACAGCCCAAGGATGCAATTGCCCATGGAGCATGGGCATACCAACATAAACAAAACATCTTACATGTTTGCCGATAATGTTACAAGCTCTCACAACTTATATAAAATAAGTAGCGTTCGTGAGCTTGCAACAAAATATAAATCAAGAAAATTCAGCAATTCTGAGTAACAACACTCGATCAACAAGATAGCACCTGTAGCTTATATGCTCTCTAGTTGTTTTTTTCTTTTAAGGAATGCACGAACTAAGAATAAATAAAGAAGTAAAAGGACATTTTGATGAGCAAACATGCAGTGTCCTGAAATCCTATAAGGTAGACATGAAGGGAAAAGCAATGTACTACTACAACATAATCTTCTACAAGCTAGATTATCATTTCTCAGCTTTCAGTAATGTATCAACGAGAATGTCGACAACAGTGCATGCAACCCATCAATTAGTCAAAACTTAAAACATCCATTGATAACTTCCAATTTTGTCATACTTTATGTTATTCTGTATTTAGAGCTTTTTCTCAATACTTATGTAAGATTTCTTGCATTGTATTACCAAGTTGGGTCACAAGGAAGAGACCATGAATGTGCAGTAAATTCAGGTATTGCTTGAATGCTGCATTAATCTGCATAGAACAGTGAAAGTGCTAGATTCAAACTCATTTAACAAATATGATCTTAAGAGATAGCATAGTACAGTGATTCATGAAAGTATCTACTTGTATCTTCCATGAAGACATCTCAACATAAAGGTGATACCTGCCTTCAGCTTTCTGCTAACCAGCTGGATATGCTTCAAGGAATTTATCAAGGACATCCAAGGCTAGCAACCAGTTGGTACAAGACTAATAAGGATCTAATGAAATAACTATGGATTACAAAATAGTTAAAATAAGGACCTAATAAGCAAAAGTAAGATCTAAACCTTCCAAATAAATGTAAGCACATTCTGTCAGTAGTCGATTAATAATAATATACAGAATTAGCAACAAGTTTAATATGTGTGTGACATAAATTACCAATCCATTCCAGTACAGACAAGTTCCATACAACAAAAAAAAGGGAAGGGTGTTTAAGTAGTTACTATCATGATTAATGATAGTAAATCCAATGAATAATCACCACACAACATTCATACAACGGGGTGCAAATTAATTGTAACCTTTAGATCAATCACATAAAAGAGATTAAAAGGACAATAGCACTTGAATTATGCACAAGAACTTATTCAATTCTATAGGTCAATATCTCCAACTATGTTATCAGAAGAAAGCCTGAAAAGGACTGTTAATTTGGAGAATGTGATTATTAAAGGTGCTGTGAACTTCAGAAGATTGCCACATTCATAATCCATTCAAAGCGCAAGCTCTCGCATAACGTAAAATAGCTTTTGATAGCATATTCCTACTGGTGCAGGTGTTCTCAGCAACATATTTTCTACTATCTTCAGACAATTTATTGTCCATGAAGTATGAACCATATTAGAAAAAAAAAGTATGTTCGGACAAAAGAAAATGGAACTATAAAGTCAATGTTGTCTGTGAACTTGATTTATGCAAAAATGGGCAATAGATGAAAACACAAAGGAATAGAACATGCCCAGAAATAAGAAGTGTGGCTGTTTCAACTAGTTTTGATCTTGTAACAGTTTGACCTTCCAGACGATGCACCATACCCCTTTGAAAGTGCTGGATGAAAATGATCAAGAGGCTTTTACAAGATAAGGGGAGAACAGACAATGGATGGGAGGACAAAGTGGAAAGGGCTTTCAACCTTACCAGCAGGTTGATCTATGAAGCTTTTCTAACTTGTGAACCTGCTTATGTTCTGCTGCATCTTCAGTTTGTCAGAACTTCCATATCCACCACTTCAAATTGCTGGAAAACAGCCTGTAGAAGCAACCACTGGAATTTGTATGTACTATCTGTTATTGTGATATGGTAGTTTCTGCAAGCAAATATTTGTGGTGAACATGGAAAAAGGTAACTTATAATAAGGATTCAAATTTCGAATCATACCACCCATACGTTACCAAATCATACCACCTGCTACTGGGCGATACACTTGATTTAGGCCTGTATCGAACGATACGGGGCTGTATCGGTTGGTAACGGTTGATTTCAATCATTACTACCTAGTACAATTAATAATGGTCAAAATTTCGACCATTACCGACAAAAGTTAGTAACGGTCGAAATCGACTGTTACTGACATGTATCAATGTTTCAATAGTCAATTTGATCATTGGAGCCCTTTCTCATAAGTTTTTAAATACATCATCCCCCATATTTTACTTCATTTCACTCTCACACTCTCTTAAACTATCTCAAATTCATTTTCTCTCATATTCTCTTTCTTATTCTCACATTTGCACTCTCCTAAACTCTACAAAGTAATGATTTATGAATTGAATTGAGGATAATTTGGGAGGATGAAGAGGAAGAACTTTTTAATCAAGTGTATGTATTCTCTTTCTTTAATTAGATATTAATTAAGATATTTAATATTATTATTAATATATTTAATATTAATTTATTCAAAATTAGACACTTGTCAAATATTTAATATTAAATATTGAAAGATATTTATGATGATAAAATATGTTTAATTATATTTTATTAAAGTTATTTAATGTTATGATTAATGATTTTAATGATGATTTAATCAAAATTTGATCGATTTTGGGTTAATTCAGTGTCTTTAATATCTATTATTTAACTGAAAGAGAAGTAACTAATTAATGAGTAAATATAACATGTTTATAGTATTGAAATTAATATATATCTATTATAACATGTGATTAAAGTTGCGGTGTGCCAAGCTAAACCTATACTAAATGTATATTTATTTCTAACTTAAAAATCATTTCCTAACTTTTTTTTATTTTTCAGATATTTTTCGGAGGACTTTACGTCTAAATTAGGCGTACCGTACCGTACCGTACCGAGCTTTTGTACATAATGAAATTTCAAACCTCGACTCATATTCTTAGTTTAGTTCCTCCAAAATAAGAAAAATCTGAAAATTAATTCCAATTTGGGTAAATTTGTGATATTACATAAAAATATCAAGCTAAGAACCAAATGATAATACGCATTAAGAGGAATAATTATTAATATTGTAGATCATTAAATTTTGTTCCTTTAGTGGTTGCCAAGAAACTGGAGATCAGAAAGCAGAACCACTTAAAATTTTCAAGATATTTATCTTAACAATAAATCTATAACAAAGAGCTGGCGGTGGGAACACGGTTTTGGTCTTGGACGAATGAGTGTCAAAAACCAAAAGATCTTTGGTTGCACAAAAAGATAACACCACAAAACTAAACTAAAAGAACTTTGTCATGGAAGGAGCCGCTTATTCTCTGAACTACACTCACAGAGTACCAAAGTATCAATCCAAAAATTGTGTACAAGCCAACATGGCCCCTGCCACCAACAGGTTAACGTGCTTTGTGATTTATGCAACCAGCTTGTGGATCCTCGGAATCAATGTTGAGGACCAAACCATCATTTGGACACACCACATACCCAGGGTTTTAAGAAATACGACAATAGATTTCAACAATCTATAGAAGAGTAAATCAACCGAGAATACGAAAGCCTTTTGATATCAAATAACTCAATCATTGCCCTGCATACCCTGAATCCTGTTCGAATCGGAACAAGATCGACATGAATCGAAGCAACAACTACTAGTAATAATGACGGGAGGGCGACGCGAAGAGCCAAACGCCGCCCTGTTACCTGCCGTGGAAGTCGGTTGGTTGTTTTGAGCCGCCGCCGGCCAATGCTGGCACCGATCAGTTTTGGGGTCGAGGTGGGAGCACGGCCAAGATCGAAGGTGGATGCTACATCGCTCGCCTTGACCAACCACTCGATCGCGCAGCGGAGGATGGAGGCCGGTGGATCGCGATGGTTGACGATTGTCCACCCTTTTCTCCCTCTCCCTCTCCCTCTCCGTCTCCTGTGGACGTTCGAGTCCAACCAACGAGTTCGGAAAGAATTAAATAGGTATATATATTGTTATTTTTTATTTAAAATCATACAAATATTATTATGTTGTGTCTGTTAACATTTAGTATTTTTATTTTTATTTGGGAAATATTTTCATAAATTAGATATATATTAATAAAATGAATGGATTCAACAGATTTAATTGAAAAAGGGTTTAACTAAAAAAATAATCTCCACTTTAAGTTGAGAACACTTTAGTATTACATTGAGAAAGTAATGGGCAAAAATAAAATAAAATGTGAGATTTTTTAAAAGAATTCATCTAAAATATTTTTCTTTGGTTTTAAAAACCATTTAAAATCTCTTTTTAAAAGCTTGAGGTAACATAAATATTTTTTTTAGAAAAAGTATATTGTGGATAATGAGTAGCATCAAATCAAGTTATAATTCACAATTAAACGAATTGTAATTACTTATATTATTACCTTATAATCTATTAATAGAAACTATTCGTTAAGTTATAATGGTATAATGTGTAACGTCAAATATTTTGGATGATACCAAGTCATATTTAAATTAACTATAATATATTTATATTCAAATGTAACGCAGACACACCGTCGTGTTCCTCCTATAAATAACGAGATGTAACTGCATTTGTCCCAAAGAGACGGAGAGGGAGAGGGAGAGGGAGATAGGTAGGGGAGCAGAATCGGTGGTGGGGATGGCGATGGCGATGGCGAGCAGGATGAGTTCTACCTGCGTTACTCGGTGGAGCACAAGGGCAAGTTTGGGCACGAGTTCCTGGAGTTTGAGTTCCGCCCCGACGGCAATCTCCGTACGCCAATAATTCCTACTACAAGAACGACACCATGATCCATAAGGAGGTGTTCGTGTCCCTGCCGTCCTCCGCGAGTGCCGCCGCATCATTGCCGACAGCGAGGTCCCTCTTCCCCCCCCTTACGGTTCCGATCGATTTCTAGGGTTTCGTTTCGTTGACGTTTGTCACTTGTTCCTTTTGATCGATTATAAGGTTTCGTTATAGATCCATTGTGGGGTTGGGTTTGATTTCGACGTTTGCGTGTGGGGGTTGGTTGCAGATTATGAAGGAGGATGACAACAACTGGCCACCTCCGGACCGCGTTGGCAGGCAGGAGATGGAGATCGTGATGAACAATGAGCACATCTCCTTCACCACTTCCAAGATTCGGTCCCTTGTGGACGTCCAAGGTAGCCAGGATCCGAAGGGGCTTCGTGTCTTCTATTACCTAGTTCGGGTATGAACCGTGACTATTCGATTATCCGAATCTTGTTCATATTTTCCGTTCATGTTCCTCATTTAAATAACAAATGATTGTATGGTGGACAATGACCGATACTTTTCTTAATATTGAGCTAATCTTTGAAAATTTAATTCATTTACTAGTTTAGTGTTCATGTGGTGGAGGTCCAGAGTGACCAGAGATCTTTTTGGGATGTTTGTTATTTATGGACTAGCCATTCGTGAAATGGTGATCATTATGTGAGTTATTTTGTTCTGGATCCAGGCAAAGTACCGTTAGCTGTAGTGTACTAAATGTTAGCACTGGACTGTTCCTTCTCTTGTCATTTTAAAAGCATAGGATGAACTCCACTGTTTGTATATTCTGCTTAAAACCATTTTGTTTTTGGTAGTTATCGCTTAAGTCGATCATTATTCTATTACCTTCTCTTGGTAATATTTTTTTAATTTGAATTAGTAGATAATGATTTAGTGATGCCGCTTATTATACTGACTCTGATGCAGAGTTATTCTGTAGACAAGTAATCCCGTTTATATCATCTTATTTTCCATTTCATCAGTTCTAATTTCCTACTTCATTTTCAATTGGCCTATCTCTTAAAATTAATTACCATGAGTTTTCCATTTCCACTTTTTCTTGTTTTATTTTGCTTGATTTTCTCTCACAAATGTGTTAGAATGGTCTCCAATTTTCTTATCCATCTCTCTTGGCCTAAATTTGCATATCTAATTTCAGCACCACCTGCCTTACATTTTGTGAGGTTTTGAGGCCAGCTTAACTCATTTTTCTTACACTTCTCATCCTTTATGCAATTCTTTTGATGTCAATTAGACACATATTTTGTTAAGTGTGGTATATGGTTTTTGGTCACACATCACCTTTCAGTTTTCTTTCTTTTATTCTTTTTTTCTCAAAACTCTATTTATTAAATGCTCTCAATTGTCCAAGTTTTACAGAAACATCAAACCAATTGACAAGTTTAGTTTTAATGAACTAGTTTTAGTTCGATAGACTTGTTAAATATTTTCTGTTTCCCATCTTTTATTTTTTTTCCTTTTAATCTACCTTACCTTACAAGATCACAATGCTTCGTGATAACATCTCATAGAAAATGTCATCAGTTTCTCTAAGGCAAGAATTTATTGTTGATCTTCATAGTACCCTTTTTTTTACCTTTTTCAGGTGCTTCTCATGCTTTCTTGAAGCTATGAACTACGAACGGATTTTTTTTTTGGAGGAAATTTAGAACTAGATCCTTGTTGTGAATGTGGTGTATGAGCAGCATTATAGTCTCTTCTTTTTTCCTCACATTTCATATTTATCACAAAGTACTTATGACAATAGGTTTGTATAATTTTTTCGAGCAATTATACCTGTACTTCTGGTTTCTGGCCTCTCAGTTAACCATATTGGTTGTTTTAATGATTAAATGAAGGTCTGGTAGCAAAGATGGGAGTGTCATATTTTATGAATAGCTAACTAAAAAACTTTTAATGATGACATGCTTCTTTTGTTGCATTCTTGATATGTTTTCAGAGGGATTTCTTATCAACCTAATAGCTAGGAGAATAAGTGGTGTCAAAGCACTCAATACATCTGATTTTGGATTATCTCAGTGCATCTATGTTCATGATGGTAATTGGTTGTCATTTAGTAGCATTAGAATTTTATGTATGCACATAAAGGCATCCCTCATTTGGATTAAATGAAAGCCAGTGGTAAACTTTGTTGAATGTATATGTAAGATCATCTAGGTTATCCTCATATGATTTTTAGTGCATGTCCACTTAAGTTTAGCACGTAGATTCATTAGTTGATTTTGTGATGATAAATTTTTATGCTCATTATTCTACAGGTACTAGAATAAATTGTTGAGCAGTCGACTGTATCTTTTTTTTTAGTAGGTCCCATCATGCTTATTTGGACCTTTTTGCTTCTTGCCGGATCTCAAGTGCTTTGTCGTCTCTCTGATTTCACTGCAGTTCAAGATCAAGCCTATTGAATCATAATCCAGCTTTATGTTTTTGCTTGTTTCGACTTGAACTTCCTCTGGCTGTTATAAGCAGGTAAGATTGACCTTTTGAGGTACTCAAACAGTGAATGAAATTGGGAATGCTTGACTGATCCTATCATGCTTCACATTGACTACAGTGACTTGTTAATTATGTTGGTTATATGTTTCATATATGTTGTACATTGTTTAGCAGGAATTGCACAAGTTTATGACATCTTATTTGCTTCTTTCATTAAGGACGTTGCAAAGTTTTACTTTGAAAACTTGGTTGAACTTTGTGAATTGTGAATGATTCCCTTTTTATAAATTTATCTGCCGTTTGTGTTCTCGTGTGCAAGTCAATAAATGATCAGCCTAGTTGCAATGTTCAGATAGCACTTCCTTTGTTTTGGCTGTTCGGTTTTCACATCTTTTGCAAAATTCTGTGCATAGTTCTATGCTAGCTTAGGAAAAAGAGGAGCAAAGATACTTCAACATTCTCTTTCTATGGGTATGATTACTGTTGGAGGCATTTGTTAAACCCATAATGATTATAGGTTTGTCTTTAGGGAGGAGCCTTTCATCAGCTTGCCCTACCATATAGAGGGGTATAATTGTCATTTGAAAACTTTAGGAATAAACTCATGATCATTAAGTTTGTCATCGGTGTGTGGAATTTTATGACTCGAATCCATCCTGTTTGGATACTGCTTTAGTTCAAGATGTATTTCTTCCAGGTTGGTTTTTTTTGGCCTGTGTTTGTCTCACTTGATCAATGCAACCTTGGCAGGTCGATGTAAGATATTTTACTGATATTTTTTTCTAAAACATTTTATCTAGTTCTGCATTTAAAATTTTCAGCTTGAGTTTTACTCTCTAATCATGTTAACTGACTGGCAAAGCTTCATAATGCTTTATTTTAATGAGCTCTCACAAAAGTCAGCAATAGATTTTGAGTCGTAATTTCTATGGTTAAGTTCTTAAACAGACTGCTTCCGGACTTTAATCTAATTCTTCGAGTGAGCAACCTTCCGTCATTAGCATATTCATTATAAACAATATTTTTTGGATTTGATTTTAACGGTTTGAAATAGGGTTTTGAATATCAGTCCATTTCGACGTATGTTCGGTACGGTATGTACCGGTATATACTGTCGGTATGCTAGGGCATACCGATGGTACATCTTAAAATCTTAAAAATACCTTCACCTATTACGTCAGGACGTACCGATCGGTATGCCTCGATCATGGTTGAAGTACGTCTCGGTATCGGTCAAAACATTGATACTATTTGGTAAAGAACGGTTCGTATACTGATATTCTCTCGAATCGATATGTATCGCTCGTATCGGGCGGTACATATCAAAAATCCTGATTTGAAGAATCATTTCTTTTTTTTGGATTATGGAAGTTAATGAACATTGCTGCCTTCAGAAACCTCTCAGTCATCCATAACTAAAACATCTGTCCTTTTTTTTTATTATGGAGAAAACTTAGTAATTGGTGGAAAGCTTTTCTTATTCATAACTCAAAACCTTGTTTATGTCAGTTGGGAATGTAGCTGTTCAACTAGGAATAAGAGTTTGTGTCTGTAAACCTGCATCTGTCAAAGTCTCCGGTGGTGGCTGTCATGATACCCTTGGGATACTCTTAACGGCATATTAACTGATATTAGTTAGGCCAATAACTACCGTGGTCCAACCCCCACCCGCTTGATCGTTAAAGTTTCACATAGGTGCATCCAAAGTTTCCTTCTTTAAATTTCACCTTTGTTCTAAAATGTGAAGGCCGATCAATTGTTCTTCGCCAATCCCCAATCTAAAAACTCAGGAGGTCCTCAAGCTTCTTTTAACAGCCCAACCAAAACGTGGTCTTCGTTCTTCTCAGCTTCCCGACAAGCATGCATGCTTTAGTGCACTGTGCTTCACCATGTTCTTTCGGCCCTACACGTGAAATGCCAGCTTGGGATGACTTTGTTGCTCCGGCCACCGACGACCAAAAGGTACGGTTCCTACTTGGCCAGGAAGAAAACGACAAACGTTCCCTTTTCCACTCTTATGGAGAATGGGGCACTCACATCGGTCTTTCTTTAATGCTGCAGGATCAACCCAGCTACTTATTATTTCAAGGCCAGATGATCTGTTTGAACATCTTCAACCGCAAAGCGAATCAAACCACAGGCCACAGGTATTATTATTTTGATGTTAAACGTGGTGCATTTTTTCCCCTAAAAAATAAAAAAAAATTAAGTAGTGAAGAAAAGTTTTAAACTCAGAATCTTATGGTATCTTTAAATTTATCGAATGTGGTCTCAAACTTTCAACATATAAATGGACTTGGGTATATTATCATCAAATTAAAACATCAATGTTTTAGGCGGATTAGATAGTTTTGATTAATATTGTCTATGAGTTAGGCTAGGAGAGGCGTCTTTAATTCATGAAACTCTAATTCTGACGGTTTAACGAAGAAGAGTGATTAAGGGACGGCTTCAAATCCATATTTTATGTTTTAGGTAAATAAAGTATATTAATTTTTTTAATGAGAAGGATGAGCTATGATACCAAAAGTCTTATCGTAAAAAAAATGAAAGAAATGGAAGAAAAGGGAATGATCGCTTCGAGGGGATCGGCCTCCTTGATCACTTCGAGAGGATCGATCTCCTTGATTGCTTCGAATGGATCGACCTCCTATGATTTGTCATAACAAACTGGAATAATATTTCATTGATTAATTCCACAAGAGAAACGATTACATCACTATTTATAGAGTTCCATCTAGAATCCACTAGGACTTAGACTCTAATAATAAATAAATATTAAATAAATTCTATCCGATTAATTAAACATACTCAATAAATATTATTCAAAAGCTTAAAAAATAAAGTGATCCTAACATAAAGTACTAAAGACATCCATTTATGCATAGTCTAAGTTTCAAGTCGGAATGAAAATATTTTATGTATAGTTTATAGCTTACAAGTGCAATATAAGGATACGCACTTTCAAATTGAACTATTAGCTTGAGCAAATTCGAAAGCTGATCTAAGCTTTGGGTTGAAGTGGATGTTAGGTTAAGTTACCAAAGCCCCTGAAATGTGAGGAGGAAAAGAGCATTTTGAGTATTGCATTTGACATCATGATCTGAATCGACGACACCCACAAAAGCAATGGGGAAAGCATCATATGGTTGCCGAGGTGGTCCGAGAAATTAAGGATGACAACAGCCGAATACTGCCAAGTCTCGCCTTTTGATCTCGTCACGAAACAAATCCCTTCTTCTTCTTCTTCTTCTTCTTCTTCTTCTACTACTACTACCAGGCTAAGAAAGAAGGTGCCTCAAGCAAGGTGGACAGAAATGAGAGGCTGGTGTTCCTCTCTTGCCATGAGATAAGATTGCTGGTGCTTTCTTTCTATGGAACCGTTCCACCAAATCAAATCCTTGGAGGACCTCAAAGCCAATTAGGTGTAGAATAAATGCTGCTGCTGTGGTGCTGTGTTGGACCCCCGCTGTACTCACTTTATTTGGTGGTCCATTTTAGGTTTACGATGCACAGAAGTAAGTGCTTGGCTTGCTTGCACCACTTTGTCAGGAATTTGGAACTCTTGATACACTAGATTTACTCTTCAAAGAAGTGACCCTTGGCAAGGTCTATATGTTAATGATGATAATGACATTACGAGTTACAGAATTATAAAGGTAAAAAATCGTGTACATCACCTTAAATACAAATTGTGAGAACGACATATTGTGGGACTGCCGTTGGAGGAAGATTACAGGGACAAGATCAAGTCGCGACCGGCTTTATTTTAGTGCCATATGCCCATGTTCCCTTGTCTGATGATACCTGACCCTATCCCCGACTCTTTTGCTGCCCATCCTACCAATAATTATCTGAAAAGAACAAGCAGAGAGGTCAGAGAGGAAGGAAAATGGTGAAAGGAAATAGAGAGAAACATGTATGGGCAAGCCTAATATCTATCTAGAATGCTGGTTTGTATGCAAGAGAAAGAGTAATGTCAAGGTGAAGTGAGCTCTCTCAAGTGCAATTAACATGAGATAGCCAGAGAGGTAAATAATGCCTGCAACCAGGCACAAGTTGCAGCCGAGATGAGTGACCGCCGCATGGTCCCTTCCTGCCTTGCTTCTTCGTCTTACCAAGCACCGATGGGGCCATCAAAGATGCCGTCATTTATTGCAGAAATCTTTCGCTTTCCTTTCTCCAAATGGTGGTAAATTGCAGATGGATGGATGATGGCTTCGACCCTCCTCCATCTTCATCGACGAAAAGGTGAAGAAAAGAGGAGCGAAGTGGCGTGGATCGACTCACAGCAAGATGTGCATCCCGTGTTGACACGGTCAACGCAGTTGACTTCACGAAGCTTCACTGTGTCGACTCGGTCAACAGCATGGAACAGATGAAGATGGGTTGCCGACCGCATGTATCACGCACGCGGCCATGGACTCGTTTGCTTCTCTTAGCCAGTAGGTTGCTGAACGACCGTGACATGATGCCTTTCTGCAGCTGCAACCTCTTTTCCTTCTCACTTCGCTTTCACGAGACGATAACAGCCGCAATGGTAGGGGGTTTAATTTATTCCAACGCTCTCCTCTCCTCAATAAAGGAAGCGACAAAGTCCTCTCTCCTTCCCCCACTCCCGTCACCTCCTCTCCCCCTCCGCAGGCAGCAGCAGCAGCAGCACACGACATGAAGGTACAGTGCGACGTCTGCGCGGCAGAGGCCGCCGAGGTGTACTGCTGCGCCGACGAAGCCGCGCTCTGCGGCCGCTGCGACCGTCACGTCCACCGCGCGAACCGGCTCGCCGGCAAGCACCACCGCTTCTCGCTCCTCCACCCTTCCTCTTCCGCCCAATCCCCGCCGCTTTGCGATGTTTGTAAGGTAGGTCTGTGGCCTCTCACGACTCGCTCTCTCTGGTCTCTGTCTTGGGGAGATACAGGAGCTAAACCACCTCCCCTGCTTTTTAAAGGAGAAGAGGGGGCTGCTCTTCTGCCAGGAGGACCGCGCGATCTTGTGCAGGGACTGCGACGTCCCGATCCACAGCGCCACCGCGCTCACCATGAAGCACAACAGGTTCCTCCTTACCGGCCTCAGCGTCTCGGCCGCTCCGCTCCCGCCGTCGCTGTCCGCGGAGGCCGAGGCGGTGGACTGTCCGCGCGGCAGCGGCGTGAGGGCCAAGAGCAGCAGCAGCAGCAGCTCAGCCACCACGGCGGTGACCACGAACAGCAACAGCAGCAGCATCTCAGAGTACCTGATCAAGATGCTGCCGGGGTGGCACGTCGAGGACTTCCTGACCGACGACGCCGCCGTGCATGCCTTGTGCAAGGTGAGTCAGCGACGCTTCCTCCTCTCGTTTCCTGTATTATTATGATGCGCTTCGTTTCTGAAGATGCCGGCGGTTTGTGATGATGACAGACGGAGGAAGAGGAGGAGGAGGTCGAGCCGCTGTGTGGATCGAACGCCATTGGTGGGGCTCTTCCAGTTCCTCGAGTCCCGCATTGGTTCTCAGGCGGCGAGGGAATCGGGCTGGAGCAGGTGGAGTTGAAGGCAAGCAGCCGCAACAAGAGGCCGAGGATATCGGTAAGGTACCTGTAAACGTGTAATCACACCAAACAACGGTCAGATTTCACCGAGAGGATGAACACAATCAACAATCCCAGCTGTGAGACGCATTCTTTTTTTGAGCTTTTGGGGTGCCCAGCGCTGTTAAGCTGTCTGCCCCTCTCCGAATGAGAAAGCTTTCATGACGCCGAAACTAGTAGACTTACCTGTGTGGTTGGACATGCTTAGTACCAACATGTACCTTTTTTTTTCTCTCCTTCTCCTTTTCCAGCCTTTTGGCCATTTTTATCCTGATTTTTTTTTTCTCTTTCTTCTTTCTTTACTATGTGAAGGAAAGATAGAGAGAGGGTAGTCCATCTCAGGATGCATCTGTTGTGGCCAACTCCATCGGTTGTTAATTAAATTGATATGATGCGTGTCATTTGTATTAGACCACTTTCTTCTTTATCAAATGGATGATGACAGTATTTATGGTGTAGCTCAGTGGATGGAAGCATTTAAAGGTCAAGTTTGGAATGGTAACACTCACAAATGAAGTCTTGTGAACACATCCTTCACCAAGCAATTCTAGCATCCCCCTTGCTGCAAAAACACTGTCAATGAAACACAATGTAAAATTGTCACAAATTTGTTTTATGAAGAAAATTTATTTATAATGTGGGGAATATTGAAACAAGGCAGAACTGAACTTAAAAAATGCATGAACAAAAAAGCCACATGATCATGTCTTGCTGCTACTGAGCAAGATAAGCTGGTGCAGGATGTTCATTTCCAAAAGAAAACCAGTCAGAGAATGGAATAGACCTCAGCTATGAACTCATGAGAGGATAGCAACATGGCATGGTGACAAACCAAGGGGAGATATTGCACATTTCTCATATAAAATTGCCCCTTGTTAAAATGTAGTGTGACCTTTGCAAAGATCCACAAAGTAAGATACTAGTGAATACTTGTCCTTCTAATACATTGACTGACAAATGACAATACAATACTATTCAAGTTACATATGCATGTTAAGATAACCATCTAGAGACCTTGAAATATTATAGAAAATAGCTGCACATTCAATGGTATCAACAAAATTTTGGTAGCATTACCTCTCAAAAAAGTAGGTTACTTCAGATTGAGATAATAATGTTACAACACTGTGGCAAGAACCACTAATGTCATTTCCATTTAAAATCATTTACACTGTTCATTGAATTCCCAACTATACTCTGATGATTTAAGAAATTACAAATAGGGACAGGAAATAAGCAGGTGCTAAAATCATATGGGAACAAGCAGTTTCCCATGCATGTTTTCTTTGTATACTTCATCTAGATGATTTCGTTGACTTCCAGGGGGCTCACCTCGTACTTGTTTGTTGAACATTAAGCTCCTTGCACTTTAAACAAGATGGAGAGAGATATGGAGAGATACAAGGCATATGGCCTTGAGAGAAATGAAAAGAATTACAGTTCTCACAAGGTAGCCACAAATAACGGAGCATGTACCTTCTAAAAACTGATAAAGAATAGGACGAAAAGTTTTTATACAGACAACGCTACATGGTAGTTGACCTGACACAAGAAAAGAGAGAGTTTGACAATTTTCTAAGAATAAAAAGAAAAGCTAAGAGATCATAATATGATGAAAAGAAAATGTGAAGGATACATATGATGTACCTGTAAATAGGAGGGCCACTACTCACGTTGTGAAGGTAATGATGCGATCAGCAATCTTAGTGTGGCAAAGGGGGCACTCTGAGCAGGCAAGCGAGCAAGGTTTACACACTGGTTCAAAGTTTTAAAAAAAAAGTCATTAATCCCAAAACAAAACAAGGCACTTGTTGAGATGATTGGCAAGCATGAGTTAAAGTGCTTACAGCAGAAGTGTCGACAAGGAAGAAGTACTGCAGCAGTTGGAGCTTCGAAGCATACTTTACAAACATGAGAATTTTTGTCCCCATTCCCCGAAGAATCAATTTCTCTTTCCTTCATCTCCTGAATCTTGGCCTGAACACATGGAAGATTGGTTAGCTCTGTATCTACCTATGCATGATTATTTGTGTCATCAGTTATTTGTCAGTCTCATGACCCTAAAGTTCGCATTCCTGATAAAGCGGCAAGTAGATGATATGCTAGATATTTTGGCAAACAACAGGAGTAACAAGCTAGTAGGGTAAATGTACAGGCAACTGAAGCATCATGAAAATCATACATTGTGACAAAACATAACAGAAAATAAATAGAAAAATGGTCCACTTTAGAGAAAGGACAAACACATCAAAAATGAAATAAAGTTTTATAAGCTGACACCAATTGTTGGACAATAAGAATATTAATGAGATTGCACAGAATGACCAAGGAGACCAACAGGGTCCGAATCTTACAAACAGCATACTTTGATCCTGAGACCCCACATTGGCGGGAGCACCCCCCCATTGGCGAGAGCCTCGTGTAAAGGGTTTGCCCTTATTTAGCATAGGAAGATCATTACTGCACAATAGATGAACTAATCTTTTTTTCAATTTCTTTTGAGGTATAATTTTCAAGTAGTTAAGGGCTATAGCATTATGCATGTAAATGACCATCAACAGAATTATTTATTCACCATTTTCTTGTCTAACATAACTTGAATAATAATTAAAGTTCTGAATTTGTCAGCAGATAAGCATATTCGAATTCAAATACTGAAAGTAAGTTCTGGCATATAACTAGGAAAGATTTCTTTCAAACAAAGTTTATTACTAACTCAAATTGGTGTACCAAATAATGTACAACAAAATGTGCAAGCCAAAAGGTATTAGAACTCATCAAAGTCAACAGAAAATATCAGAATAAGACATCCAAATCCACAAAAAAAACATAAAACCAGGGTTAGCCGTACCAACACATACCACCTGGTACGTACCAATCCGACAAGGGACCGGTATAGAGACTGTCCCTTACTAGGCGATACTATAACCCGACCCTGTATCGGGCAATATGGGGTCTGTACCAGATGGAAATGGTCGAAATCCGAGCGTTACCGGATTTCGATCGTTAACGATCAAGGGCTGAGATCACCCTATTTCAAATGATCAAATTGATCGTTTGAACCATAAGAAAGGATTTTTAAACCTTTTTCTCCTCCTTTCTTTCAACTCATATTACTCTCTCAATCTCTTCAACTCTCACAAACTCATTCTCACTCACATATCTCTCTCATTCTCACATTTTCTCTCCTAAACTTAGCAAAGCTACGATTTGTGAGTTGGATCAAATTTGGAAAGATTAAGAGGCAGAACCCCCTCAGTCTTAACGTGACGGAAGGAGACAGACAACATCGAGTCAGATTGCTCGAGGAACTAGAGACACCAAACCATCACAATCATCCGCTCAACGTGCAAAGGCAAAGGCAAAGGGGAAGGCAGTAGCATCAGCCGCACCATTTGAAAGAATCAAGTCAGGCGACGAAATACCTTCTCAACCATATTCAACAACCCGCTTAATCCAAAGACATGGCAACGATATGAACAATAGTGCCTCAATCGATGACGGCCGCAATGTTAGGGAGTCAATTGTCCCATTTACACAATTTAAGGGTGGTGCATAAACCGAGGAGCAATATTTTACACATGCTACCCAAGATTTAGATCATGGAACTCAACGAGATACCAATCAAGTTTATACATGAAAGGAAAAGGAGAAGACAGTGGATGATTTTGAGCAAATGCAATAGAACCTACATGACGTAGACACAAAGCAAAGCTCATCATATTCACAGCCATCGTATCATGGAGAATCTTATGACCAACAAGAGTACGGTGATAATTGGTCATACTTCTCCGAGCAACAGTATGATGATCGATCTTATGATACAAAATAACATATCAGTGATGAAAGTAGAAGTTCTGACATTCTCTATGCTCCGCACCAATACATATCATAATCGTACTTGCCTCAAGAGCAGTCTCGGACATGTGTGATTCACAACGATCAGACATACGGTGTATCAGTAATTTTAGGATTGAATCCAACAAACATATTAAATTTATATATAGATACATAGGATCGAGGACCTCGATTCATTGCCCATGGAGTCTCGTCGCTCTTTTTGGTGATAGAACCAAGTATATTCATCGATCGATTACTTGATTCATTTGAATCTTAAAGTTTAAATTATTAAAAAAAATCTAACAATTCAAATCATTTCTTTATAGATAATTCAATATTGATAGAAGGACGATCCGAAACATACCACAAAGTTACTCAAAGCTCGAAAAAGATGTGTCACTATTCTTTCCTAATTTAGATTATTTTCTCAAAAATTATACAATTTATATTTATTTTCAACTTAAAAAACCTAATCTAACTTTTTTTCTATTTTTAGATATTTTTTGAGCTATTTTCAATGTTTTTTTGGCACACCATCGACACACCCTAGCATATCGTTGGTACACTTTGGTACATACCGTACCGATCATTGGTCGATATACCAATATAGACTGAAATTGCAAACCTTGCAATAAAACAACTCCAAAAAATACATAATTCTCATAAACTTACCAGCCTATTAGTTCGCTATCTATGTGCCATTGAATAACCTAAAAGGGCATACTAGATCCAAAAGCCCATCCAACTTACCTATAGTAACTCTATATTTTCACTAATTTGATCTAAATAGAATTTCCATTATTGAACCATCAAAGCAATTATGTCAATTAAGTACAAAATAACACTTTGGTACCAAAATGGTACCAACTTGAACAATTACTGTCGGATTGACTAGTGGTGATTATATTTTGTTGTAATGATTCAGCAAACTAAATATTGAGGTATGCTCTATCCTTGACCTGTACTGATTGGACAAACCTTGGAGATGATAATGACACTAACAATGATGTGACTGAATGTAAAATGTACTGGTTTCGAACCAAATATGATAAAATCTAACCCAACCTTGTAAATTTGAATGCTTGCTCTACCAGAGGAAATGAAAACAAGGCAAATTATTTCTTGAAGCATATGTAAGCACTACTAAGATTAGATAAGTACATTAGGCAAGCTGATATAGTTGCATTACCACTAAATAAAAGCATAACATTATCAAAATATGCAGTCCAGAGAAACCATACAGAACAACAAATAGAAATGTTAATTATCCAACATGTAGCAGTAGCATCATGCACCTGAGGATGTCGGTCCTTAACGGTAAGGTACAAATAGAAGAACAATTTTACATCTAGAAATAAATATGTGAGCTCTGAAACATACCTTCAAACGAACAAGCAAAGGTTCCAATTCTTGATTTTGATTCGATTGTTCATTATTTGGCTTTACAAAACTATCCGTTGTTTGTCTTCTTTGATGAAGAGAACAATTGTGTTTATCATTGCTCAATTTGAGGTCATCCATAAGATCAACAGGATTGGTAGATCTTTGATCAGAATTCAACCCCAAGGATCCAAAAGCACCTTTTTTCAACTTGGCAACAAGCACCCACATGCCAGCCAAGTCATTTTCCAATGACATTTCTCGCTTCTTTCCATCTTCAAGTTTTCTCTTGTATTCTTCCTCCAGATGCTCTTTTTCAGCTAAAGCAGTTTCTAAAGCAGCTTCCTTTTGTTTCCTGGCCTGCAATTCCATCCTTATGCCATCTAGATCAAGATTCCAGTTTTCCACATCATTAAATACTGTGTTTCCAAAATCACCACTTCTACTAGGAGGCCGACTTCTTCTTCCTAGTTTGATCCCATCTATCTTGTTTTCAGGAAACCTACGTATGGTACCATTAGCAGTTTTTGAATGGCCAGATAAATCTTGAGCAGCCAATAACTCTTTAGCTTGTCTTGCATTTTGTAATGAAAGTTTTGTCACTTCCTCGGCCAAATTCTTGAGTTCAACAGCAGCAGCAGATGCCAACTCTTTTGCATAAGATGCTTCTTCAGCTAATTTTTTATTCTGGGAAAGCAAGCTATGGTTCTCCTCAATCATTCGAAGATGTTCAAGATTTAGTTTCTCATTCTCAGCCTCCTGTCAAAATAACAAATTCATGTAATTTACCTCAAAACCATCAAACTTATGCAGACTGAATATGATGATTGAAAGTGAAAAAGAAAAGGCACAAGAAAGATTGGTATTATCACACAATGACAAAGAAAAGTATTCCATGTTTCAGCATCTCGCATAACAAGCTTAAAATTGAAAAGAGCATATCAATGTTGTTTCTGCGCTTCAGTATCTCACATAACATGCTTAGAATTGAAAAGACCAGATCAATGTGCATGCGTAAACGCATGAGCAAAACTTCACACAGTTTCAGCAATATTATCACAGGAATGTACATACTTTTGGTCAGATCAAAGACCACTAAGCACAATGACAGCCATTTATAATTTAGGTTTAAAAAAAAACAAAGCAATCAAGACATTTAGTTTATAGTGAATCATAATAAGCGACACCAAAAAACACAATGTTTAAAACAAGAATAGACGCTTATCTGCTCCATATGGTCCAAGTGCCTGCAGCTAATTCCGTACTACAGTCAAAAATAACGTAAGCTAGTCCATCCTTCTGACCAAGGACTTCAATTTCACCCAGAACGGTTCATTACAAACGGTATTTACTGGTTCATGTGTCAACATGGACACGAACCACCCATTTTGGGCGGTCAAGTGCATTTTTTTAAGCAAAAAGTGTCTTTCTTTTTCGTTTTTTCTTTAAAGGCTGCAGCAGGGCTTTTAGGGCTCGTGAGCGGCACCCACCCCACCATCAATTCGCCACCCTCACTGCTCCACTCTCCATCACCTGCCCATCATCGCTTGCCATGTTGGTCCATCTAATCTCCAGTACTCCTCTCCTCCCCCTTCTCTTGGTACCATGGTACATACTAGCATACTATGTGCTGGCACGTCACCACTTATCAGAACCATATGGGTCCAATCATGAACTAGTATAGGTCCAGGACCCAAGATGACATTCCTTGCTCCTGGCATATTAAGTTTGCAAGATGAATAACCTATCTGTGATACAAAAAGCATCTAACAAAGTTATTTTAAGCTTATGAAGCAGGTAAGTCATTGGGACAAGAAAAACAGCAGACAAAATGACACAACTAAGCAGCCCATAAAGCATCTGATTTTTGTTAATAATAAGCCTTCCTACCCCAACCTCACACTTATATCGTAATGCACATGACTATTGTTGGTAATAGAAGAAAGTCATTCATATTTCAAATTAACTAAAAGAACTCAAAACAAGAAATAAAGGGTGGCATCATAAGCATATAAATCCAGTTCAACGTAGAATAATAAAAGTTCTAGCAGATTTAAGATTACCTGAGATTGAAGTTTACTCTTCATATCACTGATTTCTTCTGTGACGAATTCTTCATGCAGTTGTTCAGACTTGAATGAATTCAGCTGTTGTTGTAGAAGAAGCACTTTATCTTCCAGATCCTTGATCTCAGAGCACTAAGAGAAATGAAAGTTCAATGAGGTTTTAGAATAAAAAATTAAAAAAAAAAAGAGAGAGAAAAAAAGATGCCTGGAGTCATGAACTAGCACTTGTATGTCATCTGAAAAATATGCATACCAATCACACAAAAACTCAATACCAACCTTCTGTTGAAGCTGGTCTTGGAGGATACGGTTATCAGCTGATTTTAACTGCATTGATTATAACATAGTAGAATTATAGCAACAACAAATATATAAATATATGGCTACAGCTCAGCAGATTGAAATCATTATAAATTTGATTCTAATTAAAAATCATCTCTAAGTAAAATTGTCAAATGAACAGAAGTAAACAAGGAAAAAAGTCACCTCTAGCTCAAAACCCTTCTCGTTGCACTGAGTCATTAATCTCATTACAGTCTGTGAGTGAAAAAAATTGAAAGAGTCAATAGTAACAAGAGAAATAATTAGAAATAATGCTGCATATCAAAGATGTCATACCTGCTGCATATCAACCATTGAGGAATTTCCCTTGGAAGCTTCACTGTTCTCGATAATGCGTTGTTCCAACAACCTCATTCGTTTTTGTTTCTCATGGATTTCATGCTCCAATTTCTCGATCTACAGTAAATAGAGATGCCAATCAAAAGTTTAGTGAATCCTTGAAGGCACAGAGTAAAAGTAACTTTAGATCATCTGACGAATTTATAATTAATTATGCCAAGGCTGAAACTATTGACAAAATGAAAAACAAAAATAGTCATATAGAAGGGAAGATGAGGTTGTAGGAGACAAAAGATGAGGAAACAGAGTAAATTATCAGATCAGATGATTACATAGGAAGAACTGCTACTTCCAGTGAAGGAAAAAACAAACAAACAAACAAAAAAAACAAAATGATTGTTCTGATGTGAAAAGAGTGTAAAATGAAACCCAAGAGACAGGAATAGACAACATTAGCCAAGTAAGGGAGATCATAATTTTTTAATATTCTTAGCAAAGAAAACTAAATGGGAGATGAAAAATTAGAACCTAATTATTGGGAGACTTAGCAAAATGTCAAGATACCTAAACAAAACCTATGGCCCCCAATATTGAAATTCATGAGGATCAATTATCATTTTGCAAGTTTCTTAAACAATAACACACACACACATATGAAGATGGTAGTTCTGTAAGACCCATGACTTGATTGTTGAAGCACTAAGTCCAAGTCCATGATATTTGCTTCTTTATAATACAGCTAGAACCATGTGACGAATGGAAGTCAAAATAAATTGTTACAATAGTAACTAAGAAAAGCAACAAAATCGAAGCTAATAAATCCACAGATTTTACTAGCATGTATTTGATCATGTTAAACTATCTCCTGAACCTTTATACTTTCATGTTATTTTCAAAGGCAAAAATGATCAAATGAGATCCTGACATATAATCAATACCTGAAAGTTCCTATAACTAAAAGTTCCTTCTGTACAAACTAACTAAAAGCATGTGCTGGACAAACTCACAATAAATTGCTTCAGTAATAACCAAGAAGCATATCCAAATGCACAGATGGCATTAGCATAAAGCAATGAACCATCAACTATTTTTCAGGCAAGCCCGACCCTTAATTAATTAAGGAACCAAAAAGATTACAAATTTCTTCCATGTCCAGTTACATTAATGGTCAACTTCAACATGATACGCTTGACTCATAAAAGTGAGAAAAGCTATTATCATGACCATGAAACAGAGATGCTTCTACTACTTTGTTGTTTATTCGTTGCTGCTGTCATATTTTAACATTCTATCACATATAAAATAGAGAGAAAAGGATATGACAAGAATAAAGATGACAAAAATAAAATAAAAACCTTAACCTCTTGAGGAAATAAATATGCCATAAAAGTGAGAAAAGCTATTATCATGACCATGAAACAGAGATGTGTCTACTACTTTGTAACGAGAATAAAGAAGATGACAAAAATAAAATAAAAGCCTTAACCTCTTGAGGAAATAAATATGCCATAAAAGTGAGAAAAGTTATTATCATGACCATGAAACAGAGATGTGTCTACTACTTTGTTTTCTATTTGTTGCAGCTGTCATCTCTTAACATTCTATCACATATAAAATAGAGAGAAAAGGATATAACAAGAATAAAGTGGATGACAAGAATATAATAAAAACCTTAACCTCTTGAGGAAACAAATATGCCATAACTGAGAAGGAAGATGTCATACGATCACAATTATCTTAAATTCCACAGACACCATATCCAAATAATTTTTTCTTCATTTATTTTTGTATTACCCAACACTCTAGTCACATACTGACTAAAGAAGCATCAGAGCAGCAAACAGGATCCATTGCTATCTTCAAGATTCCAGGATAAATTTTAGAGTCCATTCTCCATAAAACATATATAATAGTTCAATTTTCCAAGGCTTTAAATACTGGGCTTTCCATCCGGTACAATATTGCTATCTTCAAGATTGCAGGATAAATTTTTGAGACCATAGAACATATATAATAGTTCAATTTTCCAAGGTTTTAAATACTGGGCATACCATCCAGTGCAATACAGTATTTACCAGTCCACTTACACTCAAACCAGATCAATTTTATCCAGTCTGGTTCGAACAGGAAAAGGATATTGATTTTTAACATTAATTTAAGTTTGAATGACTGAAACAGTTGCTACAAAGTTATTGTCTGATGATTAAAAGCTGTTTCCCTCATTTCCTCAGCCCTTTCCTCCTTTCCTCGGCATTGGCCAAAGCTCCAACTCTGCATCCTCCTCCTCCCTCTCCCCTCTTCTCTCCCTCTTTCTCTTGGTCAAGGGAGTACCAAACCATAATGAGTGTCACAATGGTCAACATCAGTACCAGACCAAGATTTTAAACCTTGCAATCTTGATAGATCTACTTGAAAGTGCATTCAACAACGTTTCAACATTTTCTTCAAATGCTACCACTAAACCTCAAACCAATTTTTTACAACAGGTTCAAATAAATAAATAAGGACATTAGATCTTCATGTCCCAATGGCACACACAAGCACAACCAGTTTTTATGAAGTTTCAACAGTACAGCTTAATATTTTCTAGCCAAAATGACGAGCATTAAGGATGGTTAACATTACTTGAATCTTTGTGCCATCTGGATCATTTGCGGAGTGCTCCATCAATCGCTTTAGTGTACTTGTACCAAATGCAATTTCACCAGCAAGCATCTTTACTTGTTCGGCCAGGAGATCCATTTCATCCGACATCATGATCCTTGTCTGTAAATGTGAATGAGAGAAGTTGATCACAATCGAGAAATACAAAATTAAAAAGCAGTCAGGAATATTGTGCTTTTGGACATGCACAATTGTCTTTCGAGTAGGATGTTACATCCTAGCAACATTAATGGGGATAGAGACCTAGATATGAAAGGCATCTAATCATATCTCACAAAAGAAAAGAAAGCAGAAAGACTAACTTGCTTTTATTTTGTCATAACAACTTTTGTCATAACAGCCCTGCCTACACTAGATAAATTGTCACAGTTGAGGAAACTAATCAAGAGTCAGGTTGTTTTGTTTCCGTTGAGTATTATAAAATTATCTGCAGAATACTTGCAAAATACAGAAATCTAGTCACTTTGTTGGCCATTTAGCTGATTACATCAGTGAATTTATAGAAGTAACCATCTGATATCAAAACCAAAAATATTTGTTAACTTTGCCAGTTCAATGGAAAAAGAAATTGTCTCCTACACAGAAGAAGAGTTGTCATTAACTCCAATATAATAGAAGGGTCAAGCAAAAAAGAAACATAACACACCAACTAGCATAAATGATAAAACCACTAAGCAGAAACAAGATCATAAAATTATAGAAAACAAACAGATATACTAATTTAGTCCATAATATTCCTAGAATGGTGTAAGACTTTAAATTTCATTTGCTCAAAAAAAAAGGAAAGAGCCTACACAAAGATAGAGTTAAATTCCCAGCTAACTGCCAACAGAAACTCAAGGACCAATCAGTCAAGACCAGCAACAACTGACAACAACAACAACAGCAAATTTAATTACCTGCATTGGATCTGTGACTGAACTATTGACTGGCGAATGTTCTTCACTCAACTTGCTTGAATGTCTTCGACTTTTAACATCAGATAATGTATCAAATGAATCTGACAGAGAAGAAGTCATTGCATCATTCAGGGTGCTTTCACTTTCAAAATGTGGAGAACTCTGATGGAGTATATCCAGTTTCTGTGGAGAAAAAAATATGACCGATGTTATTACATTACATGTACAGAGAAATTTAAGTCACAAAGAAACACATAGCACTTTAAGTTATAAAGTTTTAGCTGCACGGAAAAGGACATCGTATATCCCCACATCAAATGCAGGAGATTAGAGGATAAGCACTAAATCAACTAAAACACTACTTACTAAAGCCACTAAAACACTTGGGTAACTGAGGTGAAAAAAATGTAGCAGATATAAAAGGATAAAAGATGATATATGGTATCCAGCATTTAAAACCCTTACAATGTAAATTGATAATACAAAATAATGTGAAGATATTACTGTATCTACAAATTTAGAAGACCAAACCAATATGTGCATGTAGCAAAAAGCCCAAAACTATTATTCAGAATCAGATGTCTGATATTTAACAGCTATACTAACAGCCATTAGGAAAATAACATAGATGGATCAGAAAACATGTTGTATAGTAAGTTATTGATGGGACATAAGGTTCCATACTGAAACACTCAACTAATTACACTACAAGACAAAATCAACCATAGATCACCTCGATGAACTTTGAGCTAAGTACATGGCTGGACAATTTCAATCTATCAAAATATTGTCAAATGCAGCTGTAGCTGCTTCATACATGATTTTCTTCTATTTTGATAGTATACATTTATTAGGCAAAGCATGGGGTATGTAATCTGCGAATCAAAGACTCAGTTTTGAGGATTAAAACACAAATATGGTGTATCAAGGTCCAAGATATTAAAATTCATTATGCACCATGGTTTTCTTGCTTATTTTCAGAAACATTCTACTTTTATTGATCAAGCAAATACAGTTCTGCCACAGCGGAACATTGCACACAAACAGAGATTTAATCCAACTCAGCTAAGCAACCTCATCCCTTACACAAGTTGCAGAATTTAGAAAATTATAGCGCCAACAGAGATTTAATCCAACTCAGCTAAGCAACCTCATCCCTTGCACAAGTTGCAGAATTTCAAAACCAACCACCTGCATTATTTGTCCAGATCCATTTCATAAATCTCTGGAACAAAACTAACATAAACTCCAAAACTGATACAGTGATACTAACAAAGATGTTCTTCTGCCAGTTTTTAGACTACCACAATAAATCTCAGTTTATAAAATTTTTAGTGTTATAACACAGTAAAAGCTTAACATGATAAAACCACAAACTCAACCAATTGAAGCAAAAATAGCATATTGAAAAGAAATATAATGGAAATTTATTACTGCAAGGCTTAACGTACCAACAAGTTGGGATCAACTAAATGGATCTTCTTCTGCCACTGACTTTTGTTTAGGGAAATAAATGAAAACTAGTAAAACTAAAAATAGCTAGTATTGGTGGAGAAGTCCAGAAATTTTTGTTTCATTATAACTGCATATTAAACTACGATAGAATATTTCTGAATTATGTCTTTAACCAAATAGAGTCATGACGATCACTGTGTTGAGCTAGAACAATTTAGAAGAAATAAGTGGACATAAGTTTTCAAAATGCTGTTGCCAAGTTAGAGATTTGGAGAAAGTAAACTGCAAAAAAAATTTAAACATGTTTCTCTTTTAGTGCCATGGAAAGAATTGAATTGGATTACAATGCCCAAGAAACATAACAATTTGGAGAAAAAAATAAGTTTTGTGTTCTCCTAAACACCTTCAGACACAAACATTACTCATCTAAAATTTAACTTCAGAGCATGAAGAACAGAGGGAAGAGAACTCAGAGAAAAGATGAGGAAAGGTACGACCTTACAAGCATAGACCCCATATTTGTTAATAAGTTCCGTACTAATTCTTTTGATGACTGCATCGATATCATATTATCAGTACATTTCACAACAGTCATAGTTTTAATGGCTTTTTCACATCACATGATACCAAAATGTTGGCTTTCAACCATATGGTCATCTTTGAGATAAGCAACATAAGTTTTCCTTTTACAAATGCCATTAGTATGCTTCAATTTCTCGTCCAACATGCCATGTGACATCAGTAAAATTCTTAGTTTTACCAAGATCCACTGAAATCCTAAGAATGTTACAGATCATCGTACGCTAGCATCTCCAGGTTATTCTATGACAGATATTGGTTTTCTTAAAAGAGCAAGTACAGATCATCCTACGCTAGCATCTCCAAAGGTTGGTATATTTATCAACGCGCTGGTCAAAAAAATAAAATCTTGGAATGGCAAGTATCACATTCAGTAATAAATTATTTTCAGCAATTAAAAGAGATTATGCATATCACGTCAATGCTAATTTCTTGAAGTATGGAGAATATTCAGAAACAAAAACAATAAGAGAATTACAACAATTGTATATTCAAATTCGAGCTAAGAACTTACATCATCCTCCCCTAAGGAAAGATGGCGCTGATGCCGAGGTAAATCAGTTAAACAACCAGGGATAGTGTTCTTGGTAGAAACAAGTATCAGCTTGGTCAGCCTCTGTATTCTACTCATCAAAGCAGCTTTGGCTTCCTCTTCCTCCTCTAAACGGGATTGCATCTTCACTTGACCTTCCTCAAGCTGCTTGCACAAAACGAGAACATGATTCCTTCTCATTAGTATTATTACCAAATTTGAGGTTCTGATGAGATCATTTTCATTCTACATGCCATTAAAAATCTGTTTCATGAATGATCTTAATGTACTTTTCAAGGCACCTGTAGCACATTTTCACATGTTTACCTGCTGGCGCAAGATCATGATTTCCTCCTGGCTAGCTCCACTTAGCATTCCTTTCTTTAGCTGCTCAAGTTCTTGCTTTAAGCTAGATATTTCTTTCTGATACTTTTTAATTAATGACTTTTCATCAATAATCTGGAACAACAGATTCAAATTGCTAATAAGCATCCCGATTTAAGAGTATCAGCATTTCCAACCAAAGAAAAAATAATGCATATCTACCCTGTTACGAGAAGCATAAATTTCAACTCGTTTTGCCCTACTTGCGAACTTTAATGTGTTATGAGTTTCCTCCATGCTACTAGATGCAGGTGTAACTGTACAAATGAGCTGCACAACACACAAAACTAATTAGATTTTTCATCGGTTTGGTAAACAACTATGCTTACATACAAAAATCAGAAATCCAACCACATAATTGCATGTAGGAAAGTGAAATATATAATAATAGTATATGTACAACAGATGATGGAAAACCAAGTCAAACATCTCAAAGCATAGCAGCATACTGAAAGATTATCATAAGGCATGGCTAGTCAAGACTCACCGATATAAGCCCATGGCCACTCAATGAAGACTGAAGAAGTCGAGTCAATTTGGAATCACGATAAGGAATATGAGAAGCTCTCCGCTCACTAAGCTTTCCAATAACCTTTTAAAAAGTAAGTGACAAGGTTAGCATTATAACTGGAGAATCAAATACTCACAAATAGATACAAACTACTAATGATACACCAAGACCAGATGCCCATATAACACATATAATGGAACCATATATCAAATACAATTTGCTGATAAATTTTAAACAATCTAAGGCAAAAGTTGGTTCTACTTCCAAAATTAAAATAATTTTCATGAGACCTGCATTTACAACGTGTATGCTAATATTGAGTTACAATTCGCAGGAAGGTGAAGTGGGGAGAAGAGTATAATAAAATCAACAAAAAAGCTACATTAAACTAATTTACTTCTCTCAGTACCATGTATAATGATAATCTAATCATTTTCATGCTAGAACCTTTACTTGTTATGCAGGTTCATTTGATCTGATGACATAAGTTGTCTGGAAAAAACAAGAATAATAGAAGCGAAAATAGTTGTAGATAGTTTTTCTTATTATTAACAAATAGCAAAAAATGTAAAGTTCAAAGTAATAAAAAAATGCATTATTATGATAAATATACAATAAAATAGTTTATTATTAGTGATAAACAGTATTAATAAATTTTAGTTAAAATAAAAAATAAATTATGACAACTATACAAAATCATATCATCAAATTAGTGTGATGAAATACATAAAACAGTAATCATATAATCAAAAATATTATATAAAAAAAAATTACTAATATGACTAGTTACAAATTTTTAATAGGACCAAAATTTTGTATCTGAAAAATTCAATGTTGATCAAAATGGTAATAAGTTGAGGTGAAAATTTTGATGTCTCTGTTTTCATCATCCTAAAGCAACTACAATCAACATCAAACACAGAAACAATACTAGTTCTAAAACTTTATTTGTAAGATCATAATTTTCAAGTTATATTGCTTCTTGAAAATATTATGTCATATTTTCTGATTTATTTGTAGTGAATGTACGAGAGTCCAGCACCATAGAAACTTTAGACCTAGAAACAGCTATGTTCATGATTTCTGACAGGAGAATCTATCAAGTGCAAGTTATTAGAGATCAGCTCACTAGAAAAAAGGAAAAGAATAGTTAATGTAGTTAATGAAAATTTTAATACATATCATACAATTATTAGAGAATAGTTATGTCATATTTTATGATTTATTTGTAGTGAATGTATGAGAGTCCAGCACCAGAAAAATTTTAGACCTAGAAACTTCAGAGCTACGTTCATGATTTCCGACAGGAGAATCTATCAAGTGCAAGTTATTAGAGATCAGCTCACTAGAAAAAAGGAAAAGAATAGTTAATGTAGTTAATGAAAATTTTAATACATATCATTCAATAATATTAAGCACCTACTGTTCCAAGAGTTAAAAGGCTTTTGTTGATGTAAGATCCTTCCTTCCTTCTCAGACCAGTTGTCTCGGTTTTTGAACTCTCAGATCCGGCTAGATCAATAAGATTCTGAAGAAGAAGATCATGGGTGAAGCAAAGCAATAAAGTCAACCAAACATGATACAAGTTTAAAGCTTAGAACCGGAGCATACAAGTTGAGAATACATCACTCCATCATATTCATCACCATGAGCGCTGCTTTCAATCATCTGTGTAAGTGAACCATTTCCTCAAAGTAAATGAGAGATGACAAAGAACACAACTTTAGAAGAAGCAACATGGTAAAGAAGAGTCTAAAGCAAAATCTCATCATTGTGTAGCCAACATGATAAAGCCAATATTATGAACCTAAAAGAAAGGTTAAAACAATGATGCCTGTAAAAAAATAATAAATCACTTTCATAAAGCCAATCAGACAATGTGGCACTTTTTCCATCAAAAAATACAGAAATATTGAGCATTTTTACATACATGACAGGGCAAAGTTCTATAATAGAAGTAGAATAATTATTGACTTATTTGCAAACTGATTTGTACAAAATTATTGAAGAATCAAATAAAATTGGTTTTTTTTTATGTCCAGACTCCAGAGAATTGTATTTTCATCAAATGCAGTGGTATAAATGACAAACTTATATCTAGCAGTAT